TATGTACTTGGTCACAAAGTAATTTCCATTTTACATATACACTTCCATAAATTAAAAGGAATGAAGTTATTATAGTTAATATATGCAAATCGTTATCAAATCGTATATTTTCCTTTTCTTCCATTACATGCGTGCGATATATATAAATATATAAACTATGTTACATGCGTTATATGCGTCTCTAATTATTTTTCCCTAGTAAATTTCAATTGAACCTAAAGCTGCCACGTCAGTTTAATTGGTATGCTAATTGATTGACAACTAAGCAAGGTTACTTTTTAATTAATACAAACTTGAGGTTAAATCTTTTCAAATGTTTCTCAATTAATATATAGGGGATTTTCTTTTTTGTCTCAACAATTTATATTTTATGTTTACCGACGAGTTAGGCTACTATTACCATGATCCAACAATATGTTCTTTTCTAGAATACTAAAGGTGTATATCGTGCCAACATATACTATGACATACATTTTTGGAAATAAAGGTGTATATCGTGGCAACATATCCTCTTTGATAATTATACAATTTCAATTATTCTTGGAAATCTAATCTATTAATTTAAGAATTGTTTTTATCTACTAATTAAAATTGTTATTTAAATTTGAACTTTTTCATAGTTGTTACTAGAATATATCATGTCTCATATAAAATACAACCTACCAACTTAAATTAAACCAAATCTTAACCGAAGTAGATCAATTGAATTTAATTAATTACATCTTTATAATATTTTTGGTTATCTCTTAATATAAATAGATAAAAAGAAAAAATGTTCAACTCGTTTATAACATGTTTTCAATACAAAGATTAATAAGAGGTTCAACATATTATATATATGTCAAATATATGTATTACACAAAATATATATAATATTATATACACATTATATATGATATATATTAAAATTAAAATTTGACAAAATAATTTCCGCCCTTTAGGGCCGGTTAGAATCTAGTAAATATTTAACCGGTTTGGTTTTGCATCTTTTCATTTGTATGATTGTGGCTGCGAAATAGATAAATGGCGTGGTTAACCGATGGCCATGTTCTTCCAAACTTACACCTCACCTCTTGAATTGATATGCATTTGTTTTGGCACCCTCTAAACTCAATGAAAGCAAAAATAATAAATCGGGCCTCGTGGTCTGGTGGTAAAGGAACCTTAGCTGAGGTGCCTGCCATCACGAGTTCGAGCCCCGGCCACAGCGAATTTAACATGATTTCCGTTTGGCCTCCAGGACCCCTTCGGGGGATAGTCGGGTCTCTAAATAAGCTCCGGACACCTGAGTTATCAAAAAAAAAAAAAAAAAAGCAAAAATAATAGTCCTATCAATCTTTAAGGTTGAAAGTAGAGCTTAAAAGGTTGAACAAGGTATGTTTTCCCAGCTTTAAACTGAATAGTCCTATCAATCTTTCAGGCAACAAAAGTTGATAGATTCAAGGATAAACACAAAGGGTGTTGGACTGTACGATAAAATGCATATTGATGATGACAAGAACTTGGTGTTTTCACTGTAACTAAATGGCACGGCAAGCGAAAGCCACACACCCCAAGGTATTCACATTCTTCTGTATAACGAGGAATTACCTAAGTCTAAACTCTAAACCCAATATGGCGAAAGAATGCTCATCAGTCATCATCAGCTTCCTCAGAGGTAAAAAGTTTTTTGTACAAAGCTAACTAAAGTCTCGGCCCTTGAGTTACTAAACTTCGTTTTCACTTTAGCAAACAAAGTTACCATAATGATTTTTGATTGGACAACCAAGTTTTTCATAGTGTTTTTACAGAGTTTTATCATTAAAAAAAAACAACACACGCGAATAAAAACATAACATTCAAGATCCAGACAAGAGAAGAGAAGAAGGTGGCATTGCATGACACAAGTTAATAACACGAGACAGCATCTGAGAGAGAAAGTGAGAGAGATTTCTAGTCCGTAGTCTTGATCTTCTGATTGGTTTAAGAATCCTTAAACCAACCTAACCGAGCTGAAACAAACAAACAGACGCAATGAATGAAAGGAGGTTTTTTACACGGATGTTTCTCAAAGGAAAATAAAAATAAAGAATCAAATAAAGGGTAACGTACTTGCATCTGCGAGAGAGACGCCAACAGTCCCCATACGAATTTCTGAGAAGACCTCAGTAACTGCAAAATTAAAGCCTTCCACAGAACCTCCGCTAAGTTTAAGAACCTCGTCCATAGCATATGGTCCACAGAAAGCAAGCACAGCTACGCTGCAAAAACTCAAACAAGGCTTTTAGTTAGCAAAAGATAAAAATTAACCAGTAAAACTGGTGCGAGAGGAAGAAAACACACCCGTTCCCGTGAGGAAAACATTCGAATCCGGGGAAAACCCTAAGTAGCATCTCCTCGATATCATTCAGTGAGAGGGAAGTATCAAATACTGTAACTTTCACCCTAAATATAGCAGGAGATGATTGTATTATCAACATGACAAGATAGATTCTCCACTAATAAATAAGAAAGGGAAAAAAAATCAATTTACGAGCGCCTTCGGTTTTCGTCTATGGAACTGGTAGGAGCAGGAAAGAGATGCTCAAGGCTATTGTCGTCAAAAGGGTAAGCCGTAATTTTTAAAATACGGTGTCGTCCCACGTAACTTCCATCAAGCTTCAACGCCTGTGCTTCACATTCTCCATTAACATAGATTAAGGCGCGTCTGTAGAAAAAAAAAACACAAAGATTATTATTATAGACTAAGCAACACACACTTGATCTAGAGTAAATGAACGGCTGACAAAGAAAAAAAAAACTAAGCATCACAGCGATCAAGTGGCACTTGAGGGAATAAATTCAATAAAGTGAATCCGAGTTCAAACCCCACTGGTCACACAGATATGAGTTATTACTTTCGACCCATTTAAATGCCAGAAAATGATCTATCCGTGGACAGTTCCTCCACCCGGGAGTTAGGTCTGTGTCTTTAATAGATCCAAATTTAACCCTTCATTTTACAAAAAAAAAAAAAAAAACATAGCGATCAAACTGGAGGAGGAAAAAGTCACACACAAACCTGCGACTACGTAAGTTGCTGTCGTTCATAGGAACAGAGACATGTATTAACCTTATTCCACGTGATTCGAAGTGTTCTACCAGAGAATCTTCGATGTCATCTCTATAAGGGGAGGTGTCGTATCCTTCAACCACCATCCTAATAATTCTGTTTCAAAGGATATTAGAGTTATAATTAACCACACATGATCTATCTTATTAATATATATACAAGATCTCAAAAAAAAAAAAAATAAACCTGCTATTTCGAGTCCCACCACCGTTCAATTCCAGACCCTACGTTACGTTGTTACAATCGATCTAATCAGAAAAAAATATATATATATATATATCCTACGAAGAAGAACTGTTAATTGAGAAAGCAATAAGGATCGAAGAAGAATTACTTTGTCCGTGGATACGTCCATGGCGACTGCTGCGCTTAGCGTTTTCGAGAGGCGATGAAGGTATTTTGTTTTCGGGATTTTTGGTCTTTATAGAGAGTCTCTCTCCGAAGCACTAACATATTTCATTTTTTGGAAAGGATGGGCAAATACCATCCCATCATTGTCCTATGACTTTTTGTGTTTGAAATAACTCTATTTTGTTGTTGATTAATATGTTTAGTCATAGTAAACATTCGGTTTTTAGTCTGGGTTCTGGTTTGTTTGTATTGGTTTTTGATTTTAGCTTTTGTTGTGATTTTTGGTTTTGCTGATTAAAATATATCAACCGTTTGTTTATGTATAAAGTTGGGTTTGGTTAGAGTTAGGGCTGAACAAAAATTTGAATCCGAAAAACCGAACCGAATCCGATCAGAAAAGGTAGTATCGAAAACGAATCAAAATTTATCAAATATCCGAACAAACTTAAAATATTGGTATTTATAAAACCGAAACCAAACCCTACCCGGGCTAAAATATTTTGGATACTCGAATATATCTATAAGAGATTTATATACCTAAATATATTGATTATTTTTAGATTTAATGTATATTAATAACATAAAAAATATATAACATAAATATATAACATATTTTTAAGTTGTCCAGAATAGGACAACATACTTGAAAGTATATGCAAATAGTCAAAAATAAATGTCTAAAATAGCTAAAGTATATTCAAAACATCAAAAATGCTTAGAATATATATTGATTCGCTATCGAAATATTCAAACTAAACCAATTTATATGTTAACTTTATGTATTTTGATTTATGTTATTCAAATTTATATTTAATATTTTATTTTGTTTATAAAATTTGAGAAATTTAAAGCTAATGAATTTTGAAAATAATTTAAATGGATTATCTAAGTCTAAACCGAACCCACAAAGATTTAAACAAATCTGACCCCGAAATTTAGAAATATCCGTATGGACTAAAATTTTTGATCCCAAAAATCCAAAATCTGAATAGACTCGAATCGAGCCCAATGAGTATCGAACGTCCATTTCTAGTTTAAGTGATTGGAGTTTTTGTTTTCCATTTAGATCTGAAAATATTATAAAGCCGATAAATTCTTGAATATTTTTATGCAATATTATGATTATTAGAGATTTTCCCGGGTTACGCCTGAGTTTTTTGCCTACAATAGTATTAGATCGATGTTATAGGGAAAAATTTAGTTTTGCTATGTCTAGGGATCATGCAAAAGTTCGAACATCCAAGGTTATGTTCACATGTCTGGGTTCTTTTTTAAAGTTAGGAACCATTTAAGAGACTTGCTACGCATTTGGTTTCGCCTCCACTTTCGTTTTGTGGAAGTGAATAGTTTTATTGGTTTGTAATTTTCTTTAGTCATTTGTATTCGAGTGAGAATAGAGAAGAGGAAAAAGATTTTTAAGGTTGTACCACAGATAAATATAAGCTCTCTCACAACTGTTTAATAAGAGATTACTAAAGTATACAACACTGCATCTATTATGCAATCTGACGTATATTGTTAGGATTAGTATGGTTCTTACGCTTCAAGTTGGAAATGTAAGTACACCATATCATAAACAGAGCATAAAACAAAGAATTGATCTAAAGTATTCAGAAAAAAAGAGAATCAAACCAACAAAGCCTTAAGAGAAACTAAACGTAAACCTAAGTCTTCATAGATTTAGAAACAAAAGATTTATAGAACTATAGAAAAAATATATAGACTTAGATTCACGCATGAAAAGATTTATTCAGAAATATAAGGGATTAATTAGCTTATAAGTGAATTGAAGTTTTGAAACCATAAAAATAAAGTGAATATTATATGTTAATAATAACTTGTGATAAGAATCTTACCTTTAGTTTTGCATAAGCAATGAAGCGTGATGAGGCGTGAGGTTTCCAAGCGGCTTGAGGTGAGGTTGAAGCGACACTTACTCGAATTTGCCTCGCTTCATCTCCTTGAGGCGGTGACTGATAATAGGAGTTTTTAAGATCCTATTCAAATGTTATAGTACAAAAGATATCGAACCAATTCTAAGCAATTATAAACCAATGGGATTACAAGACAGAGCTTAATCTAAGTGCTATCAATATTGAGAGTATCAAATGATTCAAGAGCAATTTAAAGAAACTAACAAGTAACAAACTTTTTCTCAATTAGTGAAGGTTAG